TGGGACAGATGGCTCCATTTTCTCAGGAGCTTTACAGAGGGTTTTTTTCCCCCCTTGGCATAGTGGAGCTGAGGATGAATACCTGTGTTTTTCTTTTCCTCTCTAGGTGCCAGCTGCTGCACGGGCTGGAGCCATCGCTCCCTGCGATGTTATTGTGCCAGCTCAGAACACTGGCCTGGGTCCCGAGAAGACCTCCTTTTTTCAGGCTTTGGGCATTACCACCAAAATCTCCAGAGGCACCATTGAAATCTTGGTGAGTCCTGAATAGAGCCCCTTGTGCGTGTGTTGGCTAGTGCTGCTGGACTGTGGAGAGAGTCAATTTTGTGTAGGGCTAGAAACCAGGAAACGTGTGAATTCTAGTGCTCCCTTAGGTGTGAAATCTGGCTGGGTGACTTTGAGCCAGTCCCTCTCTCTCAGCCTAATCCACCTCAGGGTTGTTGTTGGGAAGATAGGTGGGAATAAAAGGCAGGATATAAATCTAACAGCAGTAATAAATCTAGCATCTTTTTGAATTAAAAAGATCTCTTTGAAAGCTCTGAAAGAATTCAGCTAAAAGGGAAAAATGGGAAGCAAGCAAAATTCACAGATAGTAGCCTTGAACAATAGTAGCCTTGAACAAGTAAACTCTAGTAACCTTTATGACTTGGCAGGGACTACCTGCCTCTCTAGCTGGTTAGAACTGGTTCTCATCAGTTGAGGAGGGGAGAGCATTTATAGAAAATGCAGGGGCAGGGAATCTTCTAGGTGAACACTACATGAACGTGATACAACTTGGTTTGCCTCTGTCAAATTAATTATATGAATATTAATTAAAAGAATGTGCATAAAGCAATCATGTATATTTTGTTCTTGTTGCCCTCTAAGTGCCTTTATGGAGAAATGCCAAATGATTATTATACAATCCCCTGCTGCCTTTTAATAAATTAATAAATAAAGGTCCCCTTGATATCTTTCTCCAGCTGGTTTGGTTCATTTGGGATATTTCCCCAGCAAAACCATCTTGGTTGTCAGCTTTGCCCAGCTGTTCTCCAGGTTGAAGACGCATGAGAACTAACTGCTGTGAAAGCCCACTGCTACCAAATTGACCGTTGATTACCTTGGCTACCCCAAATTGTGATCTTATAGGGAGAGAGATTTGTTGCTGCTTTTCTCTGTATTTTTACTAATTCTTTCTTTCTTGAATCAAAAAGCTTTGTATGTTTTGCTCAGATGAGCTGGTTGCCCTTCACAATGTCTTTTCTTACCTCCATGTGTTTTCCTGTTCCAGGCTATGCAGCCAGCAGTGTGCAGAGTGTTCTAAATGTAGTTTGAACAGTTCATACAAACTTAAAAGAGTGCTTCGTTTTGTACCACTAGGAAAATAACACTGGCCAAGTACATCTTGAATTATGATTCCTTTTGAATATTGCTTGTTTTAGAAACCCAAGGTTTCTAAAGACCAGATAATTCAAACTGGGACACAGTTCAGAATTCATACATTTAAAAGTAATTTAAATGAATTAAATTAAACATCTAAATTAATTTTAAATTGAATGCTCAGTTCTAGGAGAGTGGAGCTGGAGAGATTCAGCTAATTCAGGTACTAGATAGGGAGGCAGGTAGCCAAATTTGGCCTAAAGTAGGTTTTATGCTTGGCTGCGTCTTTTTATTTACTTATTTGTTGGACGTCTTAAGGGCACCAAACTCCAAGAAGACTCTGGGTGGCTTACAGTTGGATCCAATACATATATTAAAAGCTTCCTTGTTGGTTGATGACTGCAATAAAGTTTGGTTTGATTTGATTTATTAAAAGCACATTAAAACCCAAGTAATTGCCAGGACCAACACAACATTCCCCGACATGCAAAAACTGACCAGAGGCTCCACAGCCACCTTAACCCCAGGCCTGGGGACAGAGCCAGGTCTTGAGCGACTTCCAGAAACCAAGGAAGGTGGGAACCATGTGTATCTTCCAAGATTTCATTTAATTTCCCATAATATTTCATTGATGGGACCTCGAGCGTGCCCACTCTTCTCTGCTGCAGCCACATTGAAATGTACGCTTCGTCACGTAATGTTGCCGAGATGGTGTGACTTTCTGAAATTGCCCTGTGGTTTTCTGAGTCCCCCCTCCTTCTCGTCTCTTAGAGTGATGTGCAGCTAATCAAGACGGGAGACAAAGTGGGTGCCAGCGAAGCCACTTTGCTGAACATGTTGAATATCTCGCCCTTCTCCTTCGGACTCATCATCCAACAAGTGTTCGATAACGGCAGCATTTACAACCCGGAAGTTCTGGACATCACTGAGGAAACTTTGCACAAGCGTTTCCTGGAAGTAAGCCAGGCTCCCTGACTTCGGTGACGCGTCCCATAACCTTTGTGGAGGCTGAGAACAAGGCAGCATGAGGGGAGAGCAGGGTGATGGAGGGAACCTTTGGGGGTGTTAAACGTGTGGTGCTTGGGCCCTGTTTCTGTTGCCTTTAGTTGGCAAATGCTTTGAGTTCCAAGATGATGGGGGTGATCTTTATCTGAGCTCTTGATTTGGGGCCCTCTCAGGAGGCATGTTTCCAGCTCAAGAATTTCCTAGCTGGGGTAACCATTGTGGAGAATTAGGGGAGTTGGAATTTCTACACCATTGAAGGGGATCCAGTTTGGAGAAGAATGAGCAGGACTGAATAAGGGATCTATGAAGGGCACTTTTTTTTAAGGTCAGAGATCCTCCAGAGCTAGATTGCTGCAGTTTCATGTCTGGCCAGACTGAAACCTAATTTCAAAACTGCTGAGCAACTTTAGAGATTTAACTTCAACCCTCTCTCCCTCTTTCCAGTTGCCTTGACCCAGGGAGTGACAGAAAGAGAGCTAGAAAAGGCTTTGCCTCCAGCCCAATTGTTTGGACACCCCTTAGAATAATTCTCAATGAATTTGCAATAAATCAGGTCTAAGACTGCACCATCTTGTACAGATAGATTTGAATCGTTGAACTATATACGATACAAGGCTGAACCCCAGCCGGCTTTGCCTTCGGTTGCTTTTTGAATGTGGAAGTTAGAGGAACATTTTGGACTAGAACCTGCTGGAGGCTGTCCTGCAAACAGGATTTGGAACCTGTGTGTTTTGTCCCTCCCAGGGCGTTCGTAACGTAGCCAGCGTTTGTCTGCAGATCGGCTATCCTACTGTTGCCTCTGTGCCCCACTCCATCATCAATGGGTACAAGCGCGTGCTGGCTGTGGCTGTGGAGACGGACTATTCTTTCCCATTAGCTGAAAAGGTAATCCAGTTGTGTAAGGGGCCTTGACTTCAAGGGTTGGAAGGATTGGGGCCCCCTTTCTGGCCGACCTGAGCTTTTAGAACCTCAAATCAAGAGGGTCTTGTCCTTGGAGAAGATTTGTACACTCCCTGTTGAAAGCCAAACCTAACCCCCCATAACTCCAATGGCAGGGAGAATATAGAAGAATTAAGCATACCTTTCATGATAACTGTATTTGGGTTATTTTTTTGTAGATAGGTTTATTCTACTTTTGCAAATAAGGATCACTGTCCTCTTTAGGTTACCCTTGGTATGAAAATCATATCCATTTCTGTGATCTGAACCAGAAGAGCAGTCGTATCTTTGCAGTCATAAAGCCTAGGTGGCCTGTGTACCTCTAGAGTAGGGTTTCTCAACCTTGCCGACTTTAAGATGTGTGGACTTCGACTCCCAGAATTCCCCAGC